TTAATGTTTTAAGGGGGGGGGGGGGGGTGCATTTTAGTTCATGTTCATGATCTTGAATCTTGAATGTAAATGTACATTAAGTACATTTACATGAACTAAAATGTAAGTTCATTTCAATTCAAATTTAATAAACGTCTCTAACCAATTAAAACCAACTCAAATCAGGTTTTTAAAGGTTAGTTTGTTCCATCCACCATCATGACTGAGCTGCGTTTCTCCTCGAAGGTCAGCTCTGGCTCTCACCGTTTGCTCTGAGTTTTGACCCTAGGAGGAGTTTTTGGTTTTGACCAAGCCCTTCTGCACCAATCCCCTGTAGAACTCCTGGAGGTACGTGTACACGCACTTCCAGTCCGGCTCCCGCATCCGCACCATATCCTCCACATCCAGAAGCTGCGGACAGTCTGCCAGCTTCCTACTCTCACGCCGACGGGGGACAGAGGAAGGAAAGAGGACAGAAACAACAGATCGAGTGGGATGTACAAAGCCAGTGAGGAGAGAGAAATGAGACACACAAGACAGAATCAAAAAGCCCACATTAAATGTGTTTTCATGCCTTACATTCATCACAAATACATGTGCAACAAATAAAAGAGCAACAATGCATCCATTCTGTGATCTCACTATGCAAATGTGACTGTGAGCAACAGCATACAGTATGGACACAATAACAGCAATGCAAAAAGTGATGACTAAACACGTAACCCTTCATCTCCAGACAAACTGTGTTTGTCTGAATATAAAACAGCCTGTAGAAGCTCAGTGACGGGGTCATGCTGGAGCGGTGGAGACTGACCTCTTTAAAGGCACGCATCTGTTAATGCTTGTAGAAAACACCATCATGCCAGACACTTAAAGGGATAGTTCACCCAAAAATGAAATTTGATGTTTATCTGCTTACCCCCAGGGCATCCAAGATGTTTTTCAGACATTTGTCTTTGTAATCCAACACAGGGACTTACATATATTGTTACAATGCTGAATGTTTGGTTCGTGTTGCAACATTTCATAACGTCTTTAACAGAATACAGAATTCTACATATAATTGATCATCAGCAGGAATAAAGGCTTTGTTGGGACAGCATCCTTGCAATGTGCCTGTTTCAAAGAAGAGCAATGAGAAGAGGCGCTCTTATGATAAATAATGCGTTCAAATTATGATCCAACTTGGTTTGTTAGTCCGTTGGGTGACTGTCGTGTTCATGCCTAAACAAAACAAACTACGGGAGAAAATATGTCGGGTTCTGAAACAAATGCTCCAAATCAGTCAGGTCCACGTGAATCGCCATTTGCATTTACATATAAGAACTGACTTGATTTTATCCACCAGGAACAGCTGATTTCAAGTTTTAAAACTTTAAACAATTTTTATTTTTTTTTTAAATAAGGCAGAGTCCCACTATCCGTCCTAAATAGTAGGTGAGATCTGAATTTCTGGATCCCAATGAAGCACACTGATACATTAGTACTCTACACAATGTAAAGGGAGCAGTTTGGCACCGTTCTCATTTGACTTTTTCCAGTCAATAATGGTACAGAACTTAAAGTCAAGTAATACATTTAGATAGATGCTAATGTTTACAACCAAACAATCTGTGACAGAGCATGTCTGTGGTGATGCACTTTACTGAAATACTGTCATCTCAGTGTTGGCTTACTGCAGACTCAGCAACAACTCGTGAAGCAAATTCATTAGTTTTCAATGAGAGTTGGTGATTTGAGGTGACACGAGTGAAAAGTGGAAATGAGGACAGCGGAGCTCATGTGGTCTGGAGACCGACAGACCATCATAACGAAGTATGAATTCACCTTCAGGCCACAGCAGCACTAATGACTCGCAAGCAATTACAGATGGTGCCTTTAATGATGACAAGAGCTGGGGATAAACAGTGAGATAAACCAGTGCTCACAGTAATGTGGAGGAGGATGAAATGAGAAATCACCTGGACACAGACTAACCAAAGGGGAAGCAGGTAAGACCTATTCTCAGATCACTGAACAACACTGACTCGGAGTATCGCTCTTCTGTTAGCAGACACTATTCTGGGGAAACTCGTGAGCGTTCGGCTGGATGTTTCTCATTTAGAAAGGAGCTCAAATGCCTGAAAGTTATGTTACTGGGAAAAGGAAAAGGACAGGAGCAGAGGATAAATGCAAATAATCATTTAAAAAGCTAGTAATGAAGCTTTAGTTATTTAAGTGGACCTGACTCAAAGAAATGACAGCTATTAAAAGATGATTATTCTGAGAGGACTGGAGTTGCAGATCTGATGAACTTGTTAAAAGACTTGGCTGTATTTAAACAGGCTCAGAAACAAAGCGAAACGAAAAGAACACGAATACATCAGTATTCAAGACAGATGGATTATGAACGATAACTGATGTTATGTACATACTTCACCATACAAAATTTGGGGTCAGTAAGAGTTATGTTTTAATTATTCAGCAAGGATGCATTCAATTAATCAAAAATTACATTAAAGACATTTCTAATGTTACAAAAGTTTTTTATTTCAAATAAATGCTGTTCTGAACTTTCTATTCATCAAATAATCATGTAAAAATTCATCACGGTTTCCACAAAAATGTGGAGCAGCACAACTGTTTTCAACGTTGATAATAATCAGAGCAGCAAATCAGCATATTAGATTCAGCTTTGATCACAGGAATAAACTACATTTTAATATATATTCACATAGAAAAATTTCACAATATTACAGTTTTTACTGTATTTTTGATCAAATAATTGCAGCCTTGGAGAGACTTCTTTCAAAACATTTATAAAATCCTACTGAGCCCAAACTCTTGAATGGTAGTGTATATGAAGGCAGGTTCCTGGGACAAACTGACCTTGAGTGTCTGCCTAAGTGTGTTATTTGGAGTTTGACAATACTAGAAACATGGGGGAATTCACTAAGAATCAGTTGCACCTGCTGATAGCAACATGGTTTCAAAATTTGACTCAGAAATGAAATCATGCAAATTAGACAATGCCACAAAAACGCCTACAAAAAAATCAGTTCTGGACACAATGTGCATCCAGCTCTGAGTGGTAGGTTGTAGCGGACACAGCAGCAGAGTCCTGCACGCGGGCGGGTAAATTTATGTAATTTATGTAATGTGTTCACGCTGTCTGAAGACCGTTTAACGGCCCTTTCATACGGGACGCGGTGGAATGGCCTCGCGGCTGCTGCTTTCTCTCGTAGTGGAAGCGTTTTGTGCAGGACGATGCCATAGTTGCAAACAACAAGATCACATTTTATTCTACTAATGGAACTTTATTATCTCTGCTATTTATCATTTCATGGGACTATGACTAGTGTAGTTTTCATGTCAGACACAGCTAAAAGTGACATTTTACATACCTGGTACACGTACACGCATGCTCTGGATTTTTTCTTTAAATCTCTGTAAAAGATTTTTGATGGATCATACAACTCTGAGAATTCCAATTCCAATTTAAATGATCTTCATCAGGTTTTCTCCACGCTGCCAGCAAAACCGCCTGCTTTCTGCACGTCTCCCATTGAAATGATGTAGACACTCACTGAGTATTGTAGCCAATCTTGCTGCCACTGATTGACAGCTGTAGTGGTTAGCCTATATTAAAGGTAGCGCTCTTTGCTTGCTTTCTGCATTTAATCTATTCACAATTTGACTAAAAGTTTTAATAAGTGAGTTTTCTCTACCTCATGCATGAGATTTAATGCGGGTGCAATTCGGGTCACAGTTTTTAAGCCAAACGGGTCGGGTCGGGTGTGGAATTAAATTAGTGTTGCTATCGGATAACAGGTCGGGTGTTCTGTTAATTACTGCAGACCACTTCAATCTGGCCTCGTTTACTGCGACTGTACAGCATCATTCCACCGCTGTGACATCCAGGCACTTCATCAGCTCAAGATGAAGCAGGTGCGCGTGACACGGCCTAGTTATTGGCCCAAACACTTGTACACAAACAGCTGTTTGCTGCCAGCTTTCCATCTGCAGTCACAGCAACACATTCATTGCATGACGCCAATGTTTCTGAAATGCCTTATTTGCATAGAAGGAAATGTTTGTGTGTTTTCTCAGGAAAGAATGACATTCTTACATAAACTGTGACATTAAATGCAACATATTAAAGGAAGAATGCATTAATGAACAGTGCTATATGAACACAGGAAAGCCGAGCTCGACATCAGAAGCAACTGTTTAGTGAATTCACCCCAGAGTGCACCAACTCAAATTTGAATTGTATTCCTCCTGCCTGTCATTTTTTTTGGCTCTTAATTCTTGTATGTGTTTGATCATGTGATATATAAGCGTCTGGACTCACTCTGCTGTGCTGAAGGCCACCTCAAAGTTCTGCTTGCGGTTTGCGGCACTGAGGCTGGAGTAATCGAAGGCCTCTGGAAAGAAGTTATGCACCAGAGCGCAGAACGCCATCCCGTCACTCCAGCTGGAGGAGAAGTTCTGGATGTTCACATTCTTCATGACATGGAGGAGACAGAAGCAATATGGAGACAGAGAGCAACGGTTAGCGGTAAGAATGCACACTACCGTTCAACCGTTTGGGGTTGGTAAGAATTTGAAAGAAGTCTCTTACACTCGTAAGACTCTCTACACTCTTACACTCTATGTGAATATATAGTAAAATGCAATTTATTGCAGTGATCAAAGCTGAATTTTCAGCATCATTACGCCAGTCTTCAGTGTCACATCATCCTTCATAAATAATTCTAATATGCTGATTTGCTGCTCAAGAAACATATCTGATTATTATTAATGTTGAAGACAGTTGTGCTGCCCAATATTTTTGTGGAAACTGAGATACATTTGATTTTTCAGGATTCTGTGATGAATAGAAAGTTCAAAAGAACAGCATTTATTTGAAATAGAAATCTTTTGTAACTTTTAAATGTCTTTACTGTCACCTTTGATCAGCCTTGCTGAAAAAAGTATTAATTTCTTAAAATCTTACTGACCCCAAAATTTTTAACAGTAGTGTAAGTCTACAAATTCAGCATATTGTAAAGAATAGGGATGCAACAATACAGTTTGGCCACGGTTCAATACATACCTCGGTTTTTGGTTCGGTTCTGATGGCTTGGCACATCAGAGTGTTTATTGCGATTTAAAATATTATAAAAAAAAAAAATAAAAAAAAATCACATGACTACTTCAAATTTATTTTGAGAGAAATGTTATTTTTATGGATTGGCCATTATTGAGCTCTATAAACACATGTAATGTCTGTTTCATTCATACTGGCAGCCGCAGGGCGCCCTCACGCCACACAAAACTCATGACACTCCAGGAAATCCCTAATATGGACAAAGGCATCCAGCTATGGCTGTAGCTGAATAAAACGAAAATAGAAACGCTTTGAATGATGAAACATAAAGACAACAAACACTCGACTGCGACAACAGATCACAAAAGTAAGTTATTTCAAGCATTCGACTGGTCTTGTGGAGTAAAAACATGTTATAATGTTCTCTTTTGTTGCACAGCAGGCTTAGAAACGCTTCTCATTACGAGTCATTATAAGGGAAGATGTTTGGCTTTGTAACATTATAAATGTCTTTACTGTCACCTTTGATCAGCCTTGCTGAAAAAAGTATTAATTTCTTAAAATCTTACTGACCCCAAAATTTTTAACAGTAGTGTAAGTCTACAAATTCAGCATATTGTAAAGAATAGGGATGCAACAATACAGTTTGGCCACGGTTCAATACATACCTCGGTTTTTGGTTCGGTTCTGATGGCTTGGCACATCAGAGTGTTTATTGCGATTTAAAATATTATAAAAAAAAAAAATAAAAAAAAATCACATGACTACTTCAAATTTATTTTGAGAGAAATGTTATTTTTATGGATTGGCCATTATTGAGCTCTATAAACACATGTAATGTCTGTTTCATTCATACTGGCAGCCGCAGGGCGCCCTCACGCCACACAAAACTCATGACACTCCAGGAAATCCCTAATATGGACAAAGGCATCCAGCTATGGCTGTAGCTGAATAAAACGAAAATAGAAACGCTTTGAATGATGAAACATAAAGACAACAAACACTCGACTGCGACAACAGATCACAAAAGTAAGTTATTTCAAGCATTCGACTGGTCTTGTGGAGTAAAAACATGTTATAATGTTCTCTTTTGTTGCACAGCAGGCTTAGAAACGCTTCTCATTACGAGTCATTATAAGGGAAGATGTTTGGCGTGTGTTACTCTTTCAAATGCATGGTACAAGTGGGGAGGAGTTTCCTCATCTCAGCACGCAGACGCACACAAACAGAGCCAGTTTGGAGAGGAATAAAACACACTGAAATTACTTAAACAAAACCGGAAAAAAAAAATGCAATTCACAAGCATGTATTGAACCGTGGATGTCGTACCGAACGATTCAATATTATATAGAGAATTGTGGCATTCCTAGTAAAGAAATAGTATGAATGACAAAACAGAAATGAGTGAATACTGATTTCACTTTCAGTCTGTTCCTCACATGAAGCTACTTCCGATTTTACTGACTTTATCTGGAAAAATGACTCTCTGTTATTGTCTTCTTGCATTTTTGACAAACTATTTTCCTGTTTGACACTGTAAAGCTGCTTTGACACAACCAGTACTGTATAAAGAGCTATACAAATAAAGGTGACTTGACTCGACTTACGTTCTACAGCACACTAAAGCACTATATTCCAAGTCTATGACTGTTTAAGGGCAGTTTTGAGGTGCTTGATAGCCCTATTTCTCATTCACTTTTAATTGCAAGCACATGCTAAATAACTGTTTGATGGAAGAGAGAAAGTCCATAATTATTTGGAAGGACTTGAGGGTGAGCACATGATGACTGAGGTTTTATTTTTCATTCAGGATCTGATTTTCTCCCGTTACCTCATAGGAACGGGTCTTGGATCTGCACCAGTCCAGCAGCATCTGTTTGATGGAGTTGGCGTTGGGGACACCAAAGCTTGTGGAGCGCTGCACCTTGTTTACTTGAGCAATGGCCGAGTTGCTACAGGCACAGAAAGAAATGCTGTTGAACAGGTGGTACTCCTGTCCGCTAAATGAGCCTGAACGTGTGTGAAAACCACAGGCTCACCCTCCAGAGCCTCCAGTGTTCTCCAACTTCTCGATCATGGCTCTTCGTGCCTGTGCTGCAGATGTCTTGGGTAATGTCTGAGCCCTCATCAGCTCCGTTCTCTCCGCCTGTCTGCGCTCAAGAGCTGATGTTCTGCTGGAGGTACGAGACGTGTTGTCCTCACGGTCAAAAACACTGAAACAAACAAAGTAAATAAGAAAGAATACATTACAGAATGAATCACCCAAACATTACTGTGTTATCTAAAGCCTGAATAGTTATCTGGTAATTATTTTAATTCAACTACATTATAAGACCTTAAGATTATAAGACAGCAAGACCAGGACCGAAAAGAAAGAGTTCTTTTTGAGTTGATTTTCGACTTTGAAGCACTCACCTGCCGACCTTCCTAGTGGACGTGGTGCTGGAGTAACTGTAGGATTTTGTTTGCACGGTTCCCTCTGATGACATATTAAGAGTAAAAAGGGTTTGAAATGTGTGCTGGTGGAAATTAAGACTAAACACTACAAACAGAGTTCAGTAAACTTACTGTCTGTCTTTTGAACATAGCTGGATTCCATGATAGTGCTGCGGGACGTCCTGCCAGCATCATCTGCACACACAAGCAATGACAGCGCAACGATCAAGTTACATACATAACAAGAGGCTGTCGCTGAAGGATCGGGCTCCAAGTGTTGTTACTCATTTTAAAGTGGTCAGCCAATCAGAGAAGTCTTCACCTTCCTGATCCACTCAAAAGATTGCTGCATTTGCGGGTCACTTTTGACCGAGTGGAGCGTGAGCTTATAAAAGACTCATGGTAGCACTTTATTTTACAGTCCTGCTCCACATATACATACTATGTACTTGGTTATAGTTATAATTACAATAACTGGGTAATAACTAGGTACTAACCCTGAACCTACCCTAAACCTAACCGATGTAGTTACCTTATATTATCCAGTACGTTCTTTGGTAAATACAGGCATGTGCATGTGCACATACCGTAAAAAAAAGTGCAACTTATTATTTTAACTAAAACCACATTGTATCTGATAATTTACATATTAATAATGAGTGAATGCACAAAATCCCAAACTTTTGGATGGCACTGTGTTATTACCATGTTATTACTATATTTACCCCTTTTTATTAAATCCAGATTTTTTTGACATTTCAAATTTTACATGAACTACAGAAAAATCAGTGTGAAGCAAAAAAAAAAAAAAAAAAAAAAAAAAATTTTTTTTTT